ATTAAAATTGGTTGAAGATACACATGATACTAAAAAGATAAAAGGATCAAATGAGTTAGTCAAAGAGTTGAAAGTGATATTTCATGAGTGTGGAACATTAAAAATCAAAGATTACCTTGAATCAAATAACACATTGAACACCAACATGCTCTCACTTCAGAGTCTTATTTTACAAACGATAAATCACCTGTACAAAAATGACTTGATTGATACAGAAGATCTTCAAAATTTCTTTCAAGATGAAAACACAGTGGAACACATTACAATCATCATGTTCCTGGAAAGTCCTACTGATGCCCCAAAATATATATATCATCTAAGTAACTATGTGTTCTCTGAAAAATGTGGCTTTGAAAAATTCAGTTACTTGTCTGAAGGTGAGAGAATGTTCTGATATAAACACATCACATGTTGTGTTTAAGAATTGACTGAACTTTTTTTGTACAAATTTAATGCAGCTGTCAGGAATGAAAAAGTTAGAAGAAAGGTGTTTTGGGATTTCCTAGAATTGAATTTGATTTATGAACAAAAATTCAAAATACAACCAGGACCTGAAAATATCAGAATCTACTTCAAGAAGGTGTACAAATTGATTTTCCAAGATAAGAAATTTATCAATACATTGGAAAAGTTCAGATTGATTTCAAAAAGGGGATTCATATCTCTCAAACAAACAGCTGAATTTGCTACCCTCAAGAGTGATCTATTGATGCTCAGTGACATTTTTATTAAGATAGGAAATCTTCCAATCCATGAAGGAAGAGAGTCTCATCTGCGCCTTCCATTCCTGATCTTTGAATTCATATCTGAAAACTACTGTTCTAAACTAGTACAAGCAGTTAAAACAGAGCACCCGAAATTCCGGGATAGATATCAATATATGTATTATCAAAGCAACTTACTCAAGAAATTTTCTGATTATAAACAACAATTTATCAATCATTTCCCATTGAGGCCAGATTTTTTCGCACACAATGTCGAGAAAGCTTCCACACCAGATCTTCAAGAAGAAATGAAAAGAGCCCAAGTTGATATTGGAATTTATAGTGATCATGTCTTGACAGCTGGTTTGAGTATGCTACCCCATTCTGGAATTCCTGCCACAATCTTTGAAAGAGATCATCAACTGATGTTCCAGAAGATTAGGATCAAGAAAGCTGAATATGATGCTCAATTTGGATCTGATTCCAAGAAACTTAAGTCTTTTGCTTAATCTAATTTTCTCTCAAATTTATCATTGATGTTGTTATATTTTATGAGTTATGCATAAAACATCTTAGATAATAATCTCAACTTTTGAGGAATTTTTTAGTACTAGTCTTCTGTATACCATATAATTGAATTCTCATCATCTCCTTCTTATAAAAAAGTTTTTCTCAATCTCCTCTTTCAAACATAATTCTTTATTGGGATTCTGACCTTTGGTGATCACTGATCACCACTAGAGTGATTTTTTTTCTCTTGCTTCTTCCGTGGTTGTTTCAATGGAGGAATTCCTATTTTGATTTGGAAGCCTTTTGATGTGCCTCTCAATCCTAAATTAACACTGAAATAAAAAATAAAACCAACTTAAATAAAAGCCATGAATGTAAGGCTTCTGCAAAGTTTTTGTTTTCCACCTCAAATTAAGATCCAAGGTGTTTAAATTGAATTCTGGCAGGTTTGCAGATCAGACAGGAAGTCATTGAACATAAGTGGTTTTAATAAAATGGTTTTGATTATGAGTAAATAAAAAAGTGGATTTACATGAGGGTGTATGTAAATTAAGAATTAAATTGTCTTAAACAAGAAGCAACTATGGGCCAGTTATGCTGAAAGTAGTGTTAGTGTTGGATTATATGCTTATAACGTAGTATGCTTCAAACAAATCACAAGACAAATCCTGTATATAGTTCCTCTCAGGATTAGTCTCTTAGTTTCCTCCTCAGTGAATCAGAACCAAACATTATCTTTCTCACTCCTCAAGTGTCACAAGACCTAAGGTCTGTGAACTTCAGTCATTCTCTCCCCTGTCTGTCTCAACAGTTAGCACAGCATAATGCAGCGGAATCATGCAATGAAATACACTGGGGTGTGATGGTTGTGGGAGTATTATTATTAGCAAGAATAATAAGAGATACAATTCTAGAGGAGAACAAAGAGAGAAAGAGAAACAGAAAGAGGAACTTGTACCGGGGTGTGATTGTTGTGGAAGGATGAGGAAAAAAGACTTAGACAACCATCAGCTCCAGATATAAAAAGACAAATGTGATATGTGAGTGACAGGTGAGTAGCACAAAAGAGAAAAGAGATCACATGTTATTCCGCTCACATTTAATGTAGTGCAGTGAAAGCCCAACATGACTGTGCTAACACTACAATTGTGGGCCATAACAAAGGGCCCTCTACAATGTGCTACTTTGCATTTGATGGTTTTTGGTATCTTCTGCCACCAAAAATGCTGTAGTGTAGTGGCACTAACAGCGCACTACCACTAAAGGTTTGGCACACTGGTTTGGGGGCCGCTACACTAATGTTAGTGTCTCATTGCTGCAAGAAGGAAGAATTTATGCTAGGAAACTATTAGAGATTTATTACTGGACAATGAATTTGATCTTGGATAGCATTTAAATCAGACATTCAATATACTGGATGACATCCCACCACCATTGACAGGGATGTAAATTCTACTCCAAATCCTAAATCAAGACACTTATCACAACCTTGACCAACCAAAATTCAAAGGTATTCATAGTTTGATAGCTCTTGGGAATTGGACAATTTACAATGGTTTTAAAAATCTGTGGACATAGCAGCGGTGGGCCGCTACGCTTTTGGCCCAAAAAGCGTAGCGTAGCAGCGCTATTTTTTCATCCAAAAACCGTAGTGTTAGCAGTTTTTCGCTATGCTACGCTGCGCTACAGCGCTTTAGCAGAAAAAGCGGCCAAAAACCGCTAAAAACCGCTGTAGCGCAGTGTAGTGGGCCCCTTTTTGCGGCCCACACGCGTAGCGTTAGCGGTGTCGTGGTGGGATTCCGCTACGCTACGCTAATCACTAACAGTGATTCCGCTGCGTTACGCTACACTAACCGCTACGGTTAGTGTAGTGGCCCACTGTTGGACGTAGTAGTTAGAGCATTAGTCTTTTGATCAAGACAACTTCAGTCATACGCCCAGGCCGAGCCTTGAACATGGGTAGGTCAGAAATACATAGAAGATTGAATAATGATACTGATAATTTTTGCTAATGTGAGAATGGTTTTGTTTACCAAAATTCCTTCTACGGAAGGTACCTTTGATTTCAGATTTCACCACCCTATGAATGAATGAAAAAAATTGCATAGGGAATGATTTGTAAGCACCATGCAGCATCTTGGGGTCGACACCCATTCTCCCAAGAAGTAAGGAGTACGAACCCTTCAAACTGTACCGGTCAACCCTTTGATCGAACATGCATACATATACTGCCTACTGAGACACAAGGTTGGGGTTATCCTTATCTGCGGGGAGACATTTTGAGTTTGGATGCCAAATGAGTCTCGATCCTTCAAAAGTTTTGCCACATTTGTGTCTCCATTGAAGGTTTGATCAGATTTGATCGGACTTAATGACGGCCGAAGCGTTCAATATGGCCGAGAGTTAGTTTATTTGCTCGAGAACGTTACCTATTTATAACAAAAGGAATCGAACACCATGATCTCTTCAGCATCTTCAGGAAATGCACCGGTTGTAGTTTGGACTTGTCAATTTATTTTGTTCCGAATGCAATTTGGGCTTGATATGAAGAGCTATCATGGTGCTCCGAGTCCAGGCCTCATCAAGCACTAGAAGTATGTAAACGTTTAGTACAATATTCCTCAAAAACCAGCCGATGGAGGAAAAGCTACCGTTGGGTCGGGTTGCTCGATGTCTTTTGGCTTACTTGTCACAGAACATTGTATCTCACATGCCAAAAAAATCCGTAAGGGTTCTGATCGTTGAATGCTCTGTTATTCCTATGAGCATATTGGTTACGGGCATCTGCGATACGCACCTTTCGTTTGGCTGCTTCAAGCTGGATCCAACAGGATCCAACGCGGTGGCTGCCTTTGCTGTCTGGCGCCGAAATTTTCGCAAGGGCTATAACATTAGCGGTATATTTACCGATGCACAATCCAGGTAAATTCTGAGGAAAGCCTGCCCTTCATCTCTAAGGATCGAGTTCAGCCTTCCCTTGGGCCCTCAGTTCCCCCAATTGATATCCAAATCAATAGATATGTGGCTTCAATGAGTCTATTTATTCACGTTTCATGATTTATCACGGTAAGGTTCATCATCAACCGGCTACTTAGCCGATATTTATTGAAATGTTCATGTCACGCGAGCGGCGAGCCAACATGGACCTCAGATCACTGCATCGGATGACTGTAAGCTCCGTAACCTGGGTTAGTGTAATCCGCCTTTGAGGCTTAAATCGACATAAAACCGCAGGATTCAAATGTCTATGTAGATTGGCTCTGAAGTCTTATCTCCCTGGGGTACGTATCACGGTGTTATCTGTGTGTTTATTTATTCATTCCCTTCGTTAATTTCATCTCTTGCTGTGATGTTAATACCTCAACTCCAGAATTATGTATGTATCCTGGTTTCCGAAAATCCGGTATGTGTGATTACGCCATCTCCACCTCTTGAAAAGTCTAGAATGAAGCTCTTGAAATGTATGTCTGTCGATCAATTAATTGAAACATCCAATTTCCAGCGGGACAAACGTTTGGAGAACTTGTGTAAATCAGACATTCACAAATGATAGAGGCAACTTCGGTTTTCGTGTGTGATCAATGAACTCGAGAAAATACACCGCTGAGCTTCGAGCTTGAGTGACACTATTCATCATAGCTACTCAATCAATCTTGTGGCAAGCAGAGGATGACCTCTTCAAAGCTATAGATTACTCGCGGATTCTCAGGTCCAATGGGCAGAGATACAAGAGGAAAATGGCAATTGAAAGGTCTTTGAGACGATAAATCACAGTCAGAAGTTTGTGCCGTGCCTTCAGCGCGTCAAAAAAAGGGCTATCTAGTGGTCATTTCATATATGTAATAAGGATACAACTGTTGTTTTTTTGAGATAAGGCGCCCTAAAATACTAAGAGATGCTATCTTAAAATAAGTAAAAGGCCTCATGGAGTTACAGGGACGATGTAAGTTGTTCGAATATTTTGTTATTAAGGAGGAGGGGATATGTAATACTATGAAATAATGAGTCGCTTTTACAATTTTTTTTCTTTCTCTTGGAGAAACATTTCAGAGCTCAAGATCAATTTGAGCGCGACCTTGAAACAGCGTTCACCGCTATAAATTTTAACTTCTCTCTGCGGCATCCCGCTTTTGACCATCATGAGAACCCCAAATCAACCTTGACCCAGGTACCCTCCACATTTCGGCTCCACAAGGCGATGTCGGCTATGGAGCACAAGAAGCGACAATTACATAAGTTCTTCGGATGATAGATATTAATGATTGTCTTTAAAATTTCGATCGAACTTGCCTGAGCGCGTCACTCCTCATGAATCGTTTCCCACATTGTGAACACTCGTATGGTCTGCGAAGAGGAAAAAAATCAGCTTAATAGCTAAGAGCTACCAGTTAACTCGAAACTTACTTTTCACCCGTATGCATTCTTTGATGTCTGTCCCGGTCGTGTCTTCTGGCGAACGCTTGGGAGCAGCTTTGATGGGCGAAACAAAACAAGAGAAATAAAGAGCTATGAGTTAAAAATTCTACGCCACGAATCCGAAAAACCTGAGTTTTCGTCAGAGACTTACAATCCGCATCTATGCTTCTTCTCAGTAGTTGGACTGAGTTGATTTGAGTTGCAATCTATTATTGGATCTTGATTCGGATGACACATATTTACGCTTTCAAGTCCCGGGTGACCCGAATGGAGAAGCTGATCGGTGGGTCTTCTACTACCAGTGTAGTGGGATGTAAAATTTAATTCGCAGGAAGAATCAGATCTACGGTGCGTCATCTGAGGCTCCGCTTTGTACCTCAGGTCAGGTGATGGCATCAGATTAGGATGCAGTGGACTAGATGGATTCAAGTTGGAGATCGAGCCATGGGTACCTTTAACCAAAGTTTTTGAGCGAGGTGCCTCTGGAAAGTAGTTTTGAGAATAAGAAGGGGGATTTTTGTTGCTGGCGAGTGAGGAAGTCTCGTGAGCTAGTACTCGTTGTATACCCTTACTGCTAGAGCGCCCGCTTTCATATAACGACTCTGGGTATGCGTTGTGGTAGCCTCTGTTTTGCGGAACTGAGGGGTGCTCGGGATAGGAATGAACTGGAGCTCGAGTGATGGGAGAGATCACTTTCCCGCTCTTAATAGGAGGAAGAATCGGCCGCGCCGATCCCAAAGCTTCGGAGTGGGACAGGTTCGGGCCTGATTTTTCTAGACGGCAATTGACCTGAGTCGCCAATGCAGACGGTCTCAACTCAGAGCTTGGGTTTCCTCGAACTGACGCTAGGCTGGACTCTCTTTGTTGGGTGCTAAGTGAATAAGCTGCCAAATCGTTCTTGCTGATGGAATAAGAGAGACCAGAGGGGGCTGCCAAAAAAGAAAGAACACAGCTTACGGGAATTAATTTTTCTTATTGCCGGAGGAGAACGATGATGATCTAAACCCTTACCTGATGTCACATTTCCACCTCGCATACCGTAATCACTCATGCTAGATTGGCGAGCATGCGAGCTTCCGTATCGCGCTGGCGATGGAGAAGGATTGCGGAAAGTATTCATTCAGATGAATTTGATTTTTGATTTTTGATGAAGAGATCAAAAAAGAAACCCTCTATAGGGGAGGGGGGAGGGGGAAAGATACATACGTTAAGGCATTCAAGTCGTTGAGCTCAAATACCACACCGGCAGACTGACTGCCCAAGCAATCAGCAGAGAATATTTACAGCAATGCCGAAGTTTTGCATGTAATATCAAAGGGAACATGCTCGTGGATACCTCAAGCTTGGTGAACCCTTAATCACTTTGGTGACTCACTTCAGCAGAGGCCCCCACTTCCGCCAAAGTCAGATTAATTGCGACTTTGGATTCTGTACTACGTATTCTGGTGATGAGTAAGAATTTCCCCCTAAAGGAGAAGATATTTTATGTAGGCAGAGCGACCATATAGAGTCCACCACTTACATAATTTTTTTATTGGCCTGAAGATGTAAATCCATGTTAGTTGATGATGGAATTGAAATATATCCCAACGAAATGCATGTAACTTTTTTTATCAGGGGTGCTCACGAGTGGTCAAATCATGTACTCTGGTTGAGCGTATCAATTCACGATCTTCAAAATATTGGAAAGCAGGTTATGCTTGAAAGAAAATATATTTTTGGTTACATTAAAATAAAATAGTGATACATACCATTGTTGACTTACGAATGCCGATATGTTTCAGATCTGATATATCACAGCGCATTTCAAAGATATGTCGGGAATATACAAGAGTAGTGTTTTCCTTCTATGGCATTAAGGGCCATTAAGGAGGAGGCTGGTGATTGGAGTCCAGAAAGCGCCCATAGGCTTCATCGGAAACTTCTCGCCCGTGATCGCCCGGACAAGCGAAGCGTCGCCCGGGTGCGGAAGAGAGACCCTCCTGCAGGACGCGGGGTAGTCGCAGAGTCTGCTGTAAATCGAGCAATTTTTAGGAAAAAGTTCTTGATCCCAAGATGCATCCAGAGCTTATGGCCTAATCTATGACCCCAAAATTGCCAACCATACATGTGCAAATATTTCAATTTCCTTGAGCAACTGTAACACATGTAACAAACTGTCGCACAGATCCGAAGAAAAGAAGCAGGGATCATGAAGATCAAAAGATGTTCTTATTATAATCAGTGAATGTGTGGACATGAGCTACAATATTCCGGTAATCGTGGAGGAGACAGACGGATAAGTATTATGTAGGACGCGTGGCGCGTTGGCTTGGGATGGATGACTGCGAGTGCTGCGCGGTTTATCGATCACTTTAGTAACCGAGAAGATAACTACCGAGCCAGCAGCTTGGACTGCTTTCCCACTCAGCAGTCGACGGTCAACAGGCAACCACCACCACCATCCGAACACTTCAACTGCTGCAATATTCTCAATTTTCATCGAGAGGTGAGTACATACATACATAGTCAGTCGACAGCAGCCCAGGGCATTGGGAACAGAGTTATCAGCTAACATCATCTGCATCCTTCATCTTCTGATTCCAGATTGCTAAGCTAGTCGATGTCATCTACCTATCAGGACTTCCTACTCAGTAATGCCACCCGGATCACTTCGATAGAGTCCACCCTAAGATCCCTGACCTGGTTCTTACCGGGTAGATTCAAGGATGCTGAATTGGCATCCGAATCTCGTCAGTAGTATTTATTCATTATTTAGTGCACACTCAGTTGACCGTTGATTTTTTTTTTGCTGGTTAAAAAACAGTTTACACGGCATTGAATCTACTCAGTTTGTATCATGATCGGATCATCACCAAGGTCGTCACCAGTCTACCGTCCTCCCAAAAGCCGGCCCAATCGTCGCATGCTCGTTACACTTCAGCCTGGTGTGCGGTCTCGTCGACCTACAAGTTTCTAGCGCATGCATTGGCGATCATCTCGCACAGCCAACTGTTGATTGAGATGGTGGCTCGGCGGAGGCTTGGCTCGAAGAGACGATGGCGGGTGGTGCTGATGCTAGAGTTGATCAAGGCGCTCTTGAGACTCAAGCTAGTCGATCTCACCAGTAGGATGCTCGTCAATCCGCCTCTCCCAGAACGGAGAATCGACCCGGCCACACTCGAGGCTCAGTCGAGGAACACGACCACCACCACCGCAGCTGCAAATGACCTCTGGTCTCATCAAGCTTCGTCGAGTAGTCTGACCAGACACGAACTCAACTCTTCGAATAGCTCTTCCTCGGAATCTACTTGGGTCGGTAAACGCACCGGGATCGTCCGTCCGTTGATCGCCAACTTACGATCACCTCCAAACGATCCCCTCATCGGTAGCGGCAAGAGTCTCGTCAACGATTATCTCTCTCGAAAAGCTTTGACCTTAGAAGAGGTCCTCAAGCCACTCGACTTGGTCAGGAAATCAAAATCAAACAAGGACAAATTAGCAGAGATCATTTGGATTCTTAGACCGGTGATATATGGTTAGCTGGGTTTCTACTTCCTGAATATGAACGTGGTTTTTAAAGAAAGAAACAAAAGTGACTGATTGAAAGTCAATCATCCAATGCTTCTTTTCTTACCAATCACAGTTCTTACGATCAATCGATTTGGACATCGCCATGCGGTTCCATTTCTATGCTCGCTATCGCTAGAATATCTGTCATATTCGCTGCGCCAATCAGGTCTACAAACTCCACAAGCACGTCAACTGACGCCGCCGATCTTTTTCGCCAGTCCGCGCCGGGCAGCCTTCCAGAGCCTTGTCTCTGAACTCGAGCGCAACGAGCTCGAGGCCAGACGGCTCGCCTTTTGGTCTTACTTCCTCCGAGGCCCCCTTTGGGTCCTCTGGACTAAACCCAAACTCCTCCAGATTTCTAACAAATTTGCTCACGTACCCATCTTTAATCTCATCTCGACCGCTATCCTCGATTACACCCCTCTGCTCGGTACGTCCTCTTCTCTTGCCCTTGTTCCTTGAATCCAATTATTATTTCTTTGACTGACTCTCGAACCGTGTCTGTTTCTTTTAGACGAGTATCACTACTACGTTTCCTGAAAACTTTACCCTACCATCACCCGTGTCTTTTATCATCAAACGTATCGTCGTACTCTTTAACTCACAAATATCCTTTTGAAACGCTTGGTGCTTCTCTCATGAAACCCTTTCATAGTGTAATCACTTCTCTTTTTTTTTCTCTTTGTAATTTCCAAAATTATCGTTAACCCCTCAAAAACCAGATCATTCTCAGTACCCTAAACAATCTTATCTACATATGTGTACATATATGCAGTGCCTTTTGCTATGACTATTTTTTCCTCCCAAGAAAATCAAGGTTATCTGATTTTAATCTTGTCGACATGTATGGATGTATTTGACCACTGAACAAACATTTGTCCCGCTTTCACAAGCGTCGTTCGCTCAAGTGACATTTTAACTGATTCTCTCCAGTTACCACAGTTGCCTGTGTCAAAAGACAGCTATTGAGCCAAGTCGTAATTTTTTGGTCTCCCAAAAAAAAATGCATAACTCGCTCATTGTTGCCAATTTCGCCCGCTGTCTTCGTAGTTTCCAAAGAATATGTAGCGAAATGCAAGCTAAAGAAATGATCTTAATATGACTTCCACATCAACCCCTTCCAGATCATTCAAGTAAAGAAAGAATGGTCCAGCAGGACTTCTGATAAAACAGAATTCATTCGAATTGGTGATCAGAGAACAGGGTAATCAAATTCCCCACCAGACCAAGTTCATCTGGCATTCTCATATCGACAGTACTGAGGTACTCCTCTCTGATCTGCAGCTACTTAGTACGATCGACAAGCTCACAAAATTGGACTGTTGGATTGCTCAGGAAAGCTCATTTTAAGCTCCAATGTGGGATTCCACCCTCCATCACAACATGTGCGCTCTGCAAGTACTATCCATCCAGCCAGGCCTCTTCTTACACAAAAAACCGATAAGATTTCTGATAGAAGAGCATAGCTTGGGAAAGAAAAAAAAAACAGATCGGTTGCGCGTTTCTTGTCTCAACAACAATGTAAAGCATGAGTAATGAGCTACATGGAAGAGAAATAGGTAGGAGAACAAAAGGAAAAGTCAGAGGCTAGAGCGAGGTTTCCAACAAGTAGCTAATGAGATTGACGAAGTCCATCGAGAGATACGGGTAACTGTGATCGATCAAGTGGCCAATCAGATTGAAACCTTGTGTCCTGATATTGCTATGTCGATGGGATAGGGAATCAATTGCCGGAGAATGCAAACAAGATATGTATACTGAACTTCTTCACTTTCAATTATTATTATTTTGAAAGAGAAAAGAAGATCAGGACTTACCAGCTCTGTCATGAAACTGGCGTCTTCTGCTCTGATCAAACTCTTACCTAGCAAGGGCCACAGACGTCATGTCGCGAAGAGGGATCGTTCGCCACATGACTGAGCCCGCCGGGGATGGTCCTGGATCGGACTCCTCCCTGCGGAGAGGCTGCCTGGAAAAGTGGATTATTCGGTGCGGCCTGGAGAGCATGGATGAGAGTCAAAAGACAAGCTATTTAAAACATCTATTTTCCAGTGGATCCCGTCCCTTGGGTCCGCAATGTTCCCTGCGAAGCAGGATGGCCGAAGGCCCCCACTCCTTTGACAACTAATTCCGGCCGGAGGCCGCTGGCAGCGAAGCTGCCAGGAGCCATTGCTTTGCTAACAAGGCTGTCGACTAACGACTCGCAATTCACAAACATTCCCGCTTGGAAAATAAAGGTGGTTTTGCTTTGACTCCTAACTCGGGCAAGCCCAAATGAGGTTGCTACTCATTTGTGTCACTCTCGTGACACGGTTAACACTAATTTTCCAAAAGGTTAGCCATTTGACTCGGAATTGTTTGCTCAATTCGTGATCTGGGCATTGACCACCAACAACCTGCAAACAGGCGCTCTTTTATATTCATCCGATTCCCAGTCCCAATACCCCAGACCCTACACACCCGCTGTACATACCCCAGCCAAAACGCCAATCCGACATCCAGCGAACATCCCATTACCCAGGACGACAACCGATTTCCCACGAGCTGTCCGATCTCAACTAACTACCCCAATCACATCCACTCCCTTACGCTCATTTTCACAGCTTTTCCCAATCAGACACGATCCCAGACGACTACATCGCAACAGGAAATTAACACGATACCCGCGCAGATAATCAGACATGCCACCACTGCCGCAACCCCGTAACACGAGATCATCCCAAACACCATTGACGAGAACCGTGCGGCAGGCAACTCATGAGCACCACCAGAATATAAAAGGACCACCGATGCGGTTGTCAACCCAGCTCATCACCCACCCATTAACATTCATCACAACACACCCAATACCTTTTCCCTTTTGAGTCGTCCGGTTACGCCAAAAGTCTCCAATTTCACCAACTCGCCAACAACCAAAGCACCAATTACAAATTCAACATCTTACTTTATTGTCAGCGACAATCCTTCTCCCCGTCACATATCAAACAATCCAGTTCTCTAGCATTACCCCACCTCAACAACAAGATGAAGTCTCAATCCGCATCGGCCAACCTCAAACGCAGCAGCCAACCTATTTACATGAACGGTCCATTTGACATCATAGCCCGTGTACGTAAACATAATAAAGCTGTGAAACACTCGGAGCTGTCAGCTAACTCAATCATAACAGCTTCCGCCGGTCATTCCGCAAGGCTCCAATTACGGTCAACTCCCGTTTGAGACCAGCCTTGGTTTCATTGAACGTTCGACGTTACAAGAAGTCAACATAGGCATTCACGCTTGCGGGTATGGGTCCATCGCCACGTCGCTGCAACCCGACCGTGTTTATGTGTTGTCCGGCCGCTTCCTCATCCGAAATAGCGTTCCCACCCCCATCTTTCACTTCCAACAGGAAACTGCAATGAACGTAGGCGAGAGCAAGAATTTCATGACGATGTTGGCAAACAAGGTCACAGTCAAAGGTTTTGGATTAATTGTCGACCGTATGGAAGTAACGAACACTACGCCAGGCAACGCTACCTCTACAAGCCTCCATGTCACTTTACAGCACTATGATTACGATAATTTAGTACGTTCCCCAATCCCCAATATCCAATTCACTTAACTTACATGTCGATTGATCCACAGGCCAAGGAGAAAATTGAATTCCATGCCACTTACATCGTCCCAGGCAACAAGATCCTCGGCAAAACATTTGTTCAGTTTGTGGTTGGCAACGAGATCATCATCGATGCCCACGTTCACGGATACAATGAAGAAACTAACCGATGGGAATTCATTGTCAGTTAGCGCCTGATCCACTCATACGCTCAATATTAACAATCATAATTTTCAGGTCGGCGGTATGGCGCATCCCAGCAACCAAGGATCAACTCCCGCCTCAACTCCTGCGTCCACTCCTGTCAACAACCATGCTAGGCGTCCCGGTTTGTAAGTTAATCAGTCCCCTGCTCACAACCTCAAGCGCTTACACTCTTCCCGCTCTCAGCAGGACCATTGGACATTTCAAATCACCTGCCAACAGTTACGGCAGCCCCGTTGCCAGCGGATCCGGTAGTCACTCCAGGTCGACTACGGTTCAGTCCGGTAATGAAACAAGTCCCACTTTGCAACCCGATCGGCTTACTGGGGGACCGCTTTTCCATAACACCGGCTCAGCTCCACCCCACGAGCACCGCCTCCAGTCTCCTGTCCGTCTCAACCGACGCAACTCCACCGAAGATGGTGAAGTGGCCGAAAACCCAACCAGTCCCCGGGTCGGCAATTCATTTGGCAGCAAAGGTCCCAAGCGGACCAGCGAGTTGAATATCCTTAAGGAAGCTGGCAAGCGCGCCAAGAACCTTCCCTAGATACAGTACTACATGTTCAAAGAACGTATGTGAACCTACCCGAATCCGTAACAACACCTTCATGACCTCAGTAACTACTCAACAATTTTTACATATTCCCGCACGCAAACACCAATGTCGTTCATTCAATTATGTTTTCCATCAGAAGTCCACGAACATCAATTCAAAGACTCACGTTGTACTTAGCATTCCCATGCCCGTTTCCAAGACTCCAATTTGTAAATAATGTTCATTAGTCCGTACATAACAACCCAAGCAATACAGCACGTCACTCATTCAAAATCTCGCGATGGATGTTGAGCAAATCTCAAAGAGCGAATACCGTTGTCCCTAGGGATGATTAACTTCACATTAATCACAACTATACACATGGCTCATCCCAACTATTCCCAGGAAACCATGATCCATAATCTTAGTTAACAACCGTGAGCCGGCAGAGATACCCGTTGCCATAGCAAGAACTCATCATTCCCAGGCACCAACTTCATAGGTGGGCTATATAACCGAGCTCAAACGACCTCATGTCAATTCACGCCCCACGCATTCCAAAACGCCACCAGTCAACCACAAATCTTATTCCCTCTCCAGTTCTTACGAATACCAAGCAAGACAAGCCAGACTCACGCCCTCAACATGCCACCTAGACGACGAAACAATCCCGATGACTGGCGGCAGTCATTTCTTCCCCCAGACCGTGTTGTAGCCACTGAACTCAGTCTCAACACTGAAGCCGAAATCATCCGACGATTTGGCTACGAACTACCACACAAACTTGGTCGCATGAACGATACCTGTGTTTCCTGCGGTTCATTACACTGGAAAGCTGAGAGAAGCAACAACGACCTCAACAAACCATCGGCATCTTTCTCCATTTGTTGTCAAAAAGGAGCTGCAATCCGACCCGTTGAATATTCTACGCACGCATATCCGCCCGAGATCAAGAGACTTTTCACTGGGACCGATGAAGGCAAGTCCCTTTTCCCCCCTGTACGGTAATAATACAACCCAAGTATACAAAACTAATCACAATTATGGTCATTAACAGAGTCACGAAGGTTTCAGGATCGAACCCGATCGTACAATAACGCATTATCTTTCACATCGTGTGGTGCAACCCTCGACCGCACTGTACAAGGACAAATGGGCATTTACAGCTTTCGGGTCAGAGGTGCATTATACCACGACATTCGGTCCATTTTCCCCAGGCCATCAACCACACCGTCATTTGCGCAGATATATGTCATTGGCGGGAATGACGAGCTGCAGACAAGGTTGTACCAATCCGGCTCAGATCTAGATGAACGGGTTCTTGGTACACTGCAAAATTTCATGCACCATCACAACTCTTATGCCCGATTCTATCGCATGGCCGGTACTCGCATCACGGCACGCCCCGGAACCGAATTTGTATTAACCAGTGTTGAAGGACCGGGACTTGATCGCAGGGTTTACAATCGACCCCAAACCAACGAAGTGGGGATGGTTCTCGACCGATTCAACCCCAACCATATCGGCCGCCGCAGCGTTATCCTTCAAACTCACAATGGCGGAACGCAACACATAACTGACAAATTCTCAGGATACCTGGCATTGCGATACCCTCTCTTCTTTATCTTCGGGGAACAGGGCTGGGTCCCAGGATGGTCAGCAGGCAGACAGCGAAGTAAGTCACACTCATTCCATACTGTATATGCTCATACTGACTTCCAGTTTAGCCCAGGGCATTTCTCGGTGCGAGTGGTACGCCTCGCTTCTTTTCGACAAAGCCAACACCTTCTCACCCATCCTTCACGGCAAGAATTTGAATCAGGAGTTCACCGTGGACATATATTTATGCGTTGAGCGAGAACGCCTCGAATGGTACCAGAACAATCAATCGTTAATCCGCGCGGATCTATACAAAGGCGTCACTGAATCTTTTCGCAATGACACTCAGATTGTTGGTAGGCAAGTAATTTTGCCGTCAACCTTTTCTGGTTCACCTCGGGCCATGTTGCAGCTCTACCAAGACTCGATGGCAGCTGTACGGGTTTTTGGACGACCGTCCCTCTTCATAACCATGACAGCTAACCCACAATGGCCTGAACTCATCGCTGAACTACTTCCACATCTCAGTCCCTCCGATCGAGCCGATCTGGTCACCAGGATCTTTCGGCTGAAGCTCGACTCTTTCCTGAACGACACCGTCAAGCTGAAGAGACTCGGTAACGTTGTATCATACGTGTACACAATCAAGTTTCAAAAGAGAGGATTGCCACACGCGCACATCATGCTCATACTCGACCCCACTTCTGTTCCACGGACACCAAACAGCATCGATTGTTTGGTTACTGCCGAAATTCCAGATCCAGTCACGGAACCCAGACTACATTCAATTGTCACACGAAACATGATACACGGGCCATGCAATCCTTCCAGTAAGTGTTGGGTTAATGGCAAATGCGACAAAGGATTCCCCAAACCCTTCGCCAGTCACACGACACTCGGGGACAATTCCTATCCTACTTACCGCCGACGCGATAACGGACGTACCGTTCAGAAGCGGGGCCAAGTGTTTCACAATGGCCATGTTGTTCCTTACAACAAATACCTCTTGCTCCGGTACGAGTGCCACATCAACGTTGAAGTTCCGTACGGTATTGCCACAATGAAGTATTTGTTTAAGTATATTTGCAAAGGTATCGACCGTTCAGCGATGCGAATGGACCAGCGCGACAAGACTATCAAATTTATCAATGGACGTTATGTTGGTCCATCAGAAGGTTTGTCACATAACTTTCATAGTCCCAGTCAGTGGCATTAACTGAACGTGAAATTTCTTTTTCCCAAATCAGCTGCATATCGACTATTCCAATTCCCGATGCACGAAAGATACCCTCCAATTCAGCGCTTGGCATTGCATCTCGAATCCGAGCAAGAAATATATTTCGAGGACGAGCAGATGTTAAAAGACAAAATCGCCGACGGCCGTGCAACCCAAACCACATTAACCGAGTATTTTCGCCTCAATCGGGAGAACGCCAAGGGGTTCCGCCGACGAGCTCGGACCCTTTACTATCACGAGATCCCGTCTGAATTCACCTGGGCAAAAGGCAATAAGTGGGAGCCTCGGAAACAAAATTCAGATATGATATCTCGAATCTATTACGCCGGCATAAATCAAGGAGAACGATACTTCGTTAGACTCTTACTTTTAAACCGGAAAGGGTGCATCAGTTTTGTAGACCTGAGGACAATCAATAACATTCGATTCAATACGTTTCGTGATGCTGCCGAGTATATGGGGTTATTGGTCTCGGATGTCCATTACGAACAAACACTCCAAGAAGCATCCATTTGGATGACCGGTGCCAAACTCCGAGCGACGTTCTGCATGCTACTCATCCACAGCCCCCCCTCATTACCTCAGAAGTTAATGGACAAGTTCATCGATGAATTGTCTGATGATCTGCCGCACCGCCTCCGGACTCGCCATGGAATAATCAATCCCACGAACGAACAGCGATACTCTCTCCTGTACTATCTCATCGAGCGATCAATAACCAGTAGGGGAAAGCAGCTCATTGACGTGGGCCTGAACCCCAACTCCGTTCAGTTCTGGGACCTGTTCCAAGATGATGACTCAGACCAAACGCACAGCGTTACCATTTCGCACGAAGCATTCATTACTATGTCGAATCAACTCAACCAACGACAAAATCACATACTCCAAACAGTTACTGATGCGGTCGCAGCCGAGCAGCCTGGAATGATGTACATCGACGGACCCGGAGGCACCGGAAAAACATTTCTCATGAATACTATCATCCATTTTCTCCAGTCTCAATCCAAAAAAGTAATTACTGTTGCCTCCTCTGGTGTTGCATCGCTTATGCTGGTGGGGGGTACAACAGCACATTCAAGATTCAAAATTCCGTTGAAATTGGAAACCGAATCCGTATGTCATCTCAATCCTCGATCAGCTTCCACACAAGAAATCCTGGACGCACAAGTAATCATTTGGGATGAGATATCCATGCAAGATCGGTTCGCGGTGGAAGCGGTAGACAGAACGATTCGAGATCTCAGTCAAGAAGAACAACCCTTTGCTGGCAAATTGGTTATTTTTGGGGGTGATTTTCGTCAAACACTACCAGTTGTGCCCGGTGGCTCCATATTTGACCAAGAAACTCAATCGATGATAAGTTCGCACCTGTGGCAGCAAGTTGTCATGTTCTCCCTGCGGGAAAATCTCAGGTTACGGCACCACACCGAACCGACATCCGCAAACGCGAGTTCCCAGTTCTATAAGTGGCTCCTGACGATAGGCAACGGCACCGATCAGCGAGAATACATCGCCGAAGTTCCATTAAAATATGGGACCATATTTCAAGATCGATCCGACCGAATCATATGCAAAAAGTTGATTGATCATGTTTATAATCAGCTCACAACCACCCTCAGTCATACCGATCACCAGACAATAGTTCAGTATTACAGTTCTCGACTCATACTAGCACCATTGAACTGCGATGTGAATTACATCAATCAACTGATAACCGATACAATCGAAGGTGAGTTTTACGAATCGATTGCTGTGAGCAACATGATGAACGAAGAAGATGGTGAAGAGAGTGATGAGGCGATCCCAGAAGAATTGCTCAGCACATTCACCATCCCCGGTTTTCCCGATGCTTCCATTAAGCTCAAAAAAGGGATCCCTGTAATCTTACTCCGAAACTTGGATCTTGAGCTCGGCTTATCGAATGGGACCAGGCTCCTCATTCAAGACATTAAACCTCATGCCCTGTTATGTCGCATTCTGTCCGGTTCATGCGTCGGCAACGAAGTTACCATCCCGAAGATAAAGCTCATTCACGAACCAGACCATTCATGTGGGGTAACCTTCTCCCGATATCAGTTTCCGATCGCGTTGGCATTTGCGCTTACGATAAACAAGGCGCAAGGCCAATCATTGGATAAAGTCGCAATTTACCTCCCGAACCCAGTTTTCGGGCACG